AACTTTGAGCGCTTTGACGACCTCCAATTTTTTTTTTTTTGATTTCTAAATAAAAAAATAGGGTTAGACTTTTTTCGATATAGAACAATCCTGGGGGGTGAGAGCATTACAATACCGACTTTACCGGTTTTGGACGACCCTAGTATGTATGCATGTAGTCACATCTTTTCGCGCTTCCAGTGTAGATTTACTGGCGCCAGCTATCAAGTATGATGACTACATATGTATGTATGTATGTATATCCTTACATACATATCCATATACACCGATAAAGATCCTTATACTTATCTGCAGACATACAACTATTCGTCTACTTTTATGCATCGAAGGTATTAAAAACTTTTTAAGTGTCTCGCTTCCGTAACCGCCCGTCTCGCTGCTGAAAGCCCATAAAATATAGGAAAGTCGTGATTTCTGATATGAGTAAGCAATTCAAACCAAATTTTATTGCTGATTATTGCATCTACTGGTGAGATTAAGCGCTTATGAGCATATGAAGTCATACATATCTATGTACATCTGCGAATAGACAATGAATGATTATTTTGGCTTGATAATAACTGGGCCAATAAAACGCTCGCTCAGCAAATGCGAATGTGAATGCCAAAATGCCAGAATGATGGAATGAGCTGCTGCTGCGGTTGAATGGAATACCATAGCTGTTGTAAACATTAGAAATCCCAAGTAGCACAATGTCCTAAAGTTCAAAACCCTTTGTTCCACATTTTTTATTTGCACTCTGCGCTCGTTTGTATTAACATACATATATATGTACATAGGTATTAGGGAATGCGTTGAAAGCCCATAAATACAAAACGAATACACAAATTCATACTAAAATGCTTGCACACATTTTTCTGTAGGCCGTTATTTCTACAGCAGTTAGGCATCTGCTGAATGCTTTGCCAACGAAAGGACAAAGGCATTGAAATGCGAATTCGTAATAAACAACTCTTTTTCATAAATCACCAAATGCTGAGTGTCCTTAAACTCAGGCACCGGCTAGTGAACCTCAAAAATAGATGGCTTTGGAATACTTGGACGAATTACATATCAACTATACACCACTTATGTATGTATGTGTGTTTATTGATAACTAAAAAAGCATTTTTGGAAGTGAAACTTCTTAATCGAGTTCGGAGATGGTTGCGTTAAATATTTAACACCAAGCCATAAACTCTGTATCGTTCGTTCGATTTTTAAAAATGAGGTGTCACATGAAAGGCCTTATCCTTCGGGTGTACACCATAGCCTTAGTTCCATGAAAGGAGTTGCCACATGTAAGAAAATCGAATTCAAAATTTCTCTGCCGCAGAGGGTTGCGTTAAATATTTAACACCACGTCAAAAAATCTGTATCGTTCGTTCGATTTTCAAAAATGAGGTGTCAAATGAAAGAGCTTGATCTGTAGATGTGCAGTATAGTTTTAGGTGTTTAAAGGGTTGCCATATATACGAAAACCAAATTCAAATTATTTATTAAGTTAAATGAATTATCCCAATATGGGTATCAAAAGAAATGGTTTCGAATAAACTGTATTTTTTAGCTACATGTAGGAGGGTTGCCACCTGTATCAAAAGTCAAATTTGGTTAAATTATAAAATAGTCTTATGCTTAAAATACTATATAGTAAGCGTGAAATGAAACACAATTAAAATATTTTTGAGGTGCTTGAAGACGGTGACCACCTGTTTAAAAAGTTAAACTGAAATAATTGAAGTGAATCTTATTATTACAGCTCCGATATGTTTGCGATATATATTTAATGCTACGGTAAAGGTAGTATATGGCGGGTATAGAAAACGAATAGCTGCGTTAAACGCCAATTGGGCGGGGAAAGACTAATGCAAAGATAAGAATATAGACAAAAACAAAGATAAAGATAAAGAGAAGATGAAGATGAAGATGAAGATGAAGATGAAGATGAAGATGAAGA